AAGATACTAAGTTAAAGCCCCGAACCAGCAATAGGGTCAGAACAGAAAGTAAGGAGGTGGTCCTTCGTCTCATTCTTTGTCTCAAGTTCCCTAGGCTTCATATCCCTTCTGGCCATGTTTGAAGAGTTTTCAGAGTTCCCTGGCATGGCAATAGCTGGGGTCCCCTTCCAGTTTAGGAACACTTGAGAATTCAGTGGCGAACGGATCCTGATAAGAATTAATTACAAATTAAAATAAATATATACAATTAATTAATTTGAATATTTGAATTGAAAATAAAAACTCTCCTAGACATTAATTTTTTGAGATATCTCTGATATCCCACCAAAACCACCAGCTCCATGAATTCATCCAAAATATTGATTTATAAAATACTGATATTTTCTACCTAATTGCTTCTTAAAATTCTTTCAATCACAAATTTTATTAGTGTATCAGATTAACACTTTTTTTTAATATTACAAAAACTTTTCTACAATTCTGAATTTCATCCTTTCATCATTTTTTCTTAAGCTCTTATTAATCCATTTCATAATCTTAAATACTAATCATAAAATAATCTTCTTTCTTTTTCCATCTATTTTCTTTCTTTTCCAAATAACAGAAGTTAAAAGTAGATCTAAAATATGATTTTAACTTTGTGCATTCATGTTTCTCATTGCAACTGAATAAGGAAGATTATCTTCAATTATAACTTATTTATCTTTTTAAAAAAAAAATCGCAATCAAAACAATTAAGAATGACCATTAAACCTTTATAATTAACCATTTTTAAAATAATATAAGTATTTTTTTGGTCGAATTTAATCGCCTTATTAAGTTAAATAATAGATTCTTCATATTTATGTAAATAATATAAAGCATCACCTAATGTTTAGAATTATGCTTTGATACCTTTGTAAGAATAGTAGAGAGCATTATTGGGATTTAGTTCAATTGCTTTATTTAATTCTATAATTGATTCCTTATATTTTTTAAAAGGCATATACTTTTTTTATATTTAATATAATGCTTATCCTAATTAAAGATATTGAATTAGTTATAAATGACATCATTATTTGGATCTAGTTCAATTGCATTATCATATACCATAATTGATTCTTCATATTTATTTAAACTTCTTCCTTTTTTTAAAGTTACATTTTATATAATGCATTTCCTAATATTTTAAATAATACTTTGATACCTATATGAAGATAATTGTTTATATTTTTGGATTTATTTAATTGACTACTAATCCATATTTAAGTGTGTTAAATTTATTTTTTCATTACCTAAAGGATTTGTCCTTTAATAGTCACCTCTTTAAACTGATTATTATTGTTCTAACAGCACTATCTCTCTTTGAGTTTTTGTAAAATTTTCATTCACAACACAAGTGTCACTCTAAACTTTGTTCTCTAAAATAGGCCTTTCAAAAATTTCAATTTCTTTTCTCACAGAGATTACCACTTTGCTACATTTATTAATTATATTTTAAATTTCTTAAATGAGATAAAGTTTGCTATATATATAAATAATTTAATTTAGAATATATATATTAATAACCTGATTTGGATATCAATTTAAATGTTCGATTTATAAATGTAAGAACCTGCTATCTATTATCATAGGATATAATCAAATTGATCTCGCAAAAAGTGGATGAAACATAATAATTAAATATCTATTATTATTCTTTAGTTTTTATTTTTGGGGGCAAGTATAAAAAAGAGTTCCAAGGTTTGCTATTCCTAAAAATGTTAACCTAAATCCTCAATTATATGTGTAAAAAATAATTACTGGGCTAATATTAGACCATGTAGTAGAAGGTGTAGTAATTTTAAGTGATTAATAAATAAATTAAAGTAATTTAGAACAAAGACAATTTATTTGAATTATATATTTTTCATTCATTGAACTGATCAGGCTTTAGCTGCGATGTATTTTTTATTTTTGAATCTTTTAGTAAACCTAAATTATGATGCTTGAGCTTCTTCTCTGAATTTTTCCTGCATTTATATTTCACACTTTACTCTTAACTCTAGAGATCCTTGAGCATTCCAAAGCTGACGGTTACTGATTCTTCTCAAACAATGTTCTACAGTCAAGATATACCTCAATTTTTTTGATTTGACAATCCTTCAATAAGACTAAGTATTTCATCCCCTGCTCTTTTAAAGGTTCTATTGTCACTATCTTCTCTGTCTTATACCTCTGTTTCACTATGTCATACAATTTGGTAGATCGTTCACTAGAGATTTAGAAATCTTCTTTATTTATTTATATCTGATAATCCCTTCAGCCTGAATATCAGATATCTAGTATACAACCTAAATTATTAAAATTTATCAGAAAGCTTCCCAATCAAGTATCCTTATAATTTAGATTTCAATCTCTTCTCAATTCTATTTCCGATTTCAATTTGGTTGTTTTGAGACTTTCAAATGCTAAAATCTCACTTTTTCAAGTTGGGTTTCAAATGCTTTGCTTTCTTTTTCAATTAGGTATAGAATACGAATTATTTTAACTTTAATGACTGCTAATGGATTCATAATTCATCAAAATTAAATGAGTTTTATTGTATGATGTGATTGTGTCTTGAGTTCTGTATTCAACTACCCTGATTCTTCCACATATCGTATCAATTCGATAAGCAAATAAAATAGAAATTTAATAAAAATAATAAAATAATTAGAAAATATATATACTTGAAGGGATCATGTTTTAATGGGATAGAATTCTTCTCTTTTGAATCTTATGATTGAAGGGTGTATTTGAATTCGTTTTTTACAAATTTATTTAAGAATAATATTTAATCAATAATGACTCAAATAGAAGAAGAACATAAGATAATGCAATTATAAATCAAACATACTACAGAAATCCACCCAACATATATATTGATCTTAAAGGAAATGTACTCAATTTCTAAGAGTCGCTGCAAGAATTTCACAAGGTTTTGATGGAACACAGAGGTTATGATGAAGAGTATGACCTTTCGAAATTGAATCTCAAAAATTTGCATTGAATTTCTCTGAAGGGTTAAAAATGATGGTTTTATATTCATAAGAACAGAAGTGATTTAAATTTGAAATAGGGTTAAAACTACTTTTGAAGAAGATCTTAGTTTAGAATTGAAGGCTATAATATTGTAATAGAGTGGAGGCGTTTCAATCTACACCTTTTTAGATCGTTCTATCAATATGATTAGACAATTTAAGAAATAAATTTTATCTGAATGCCTCTATAATTTATTCAATAATGCATTATTTTGAACTCAAGGGTGAAGCATTTCTACCTCTTAATTTTCTAAGCGCAATCAGATTCCAAATTAATTATAACTACATTTTCACTTGAACGTAAAGCTGATGAAATTTTTGATGTATCCAAGCAGTAATTAAATTATACCTAATGGGTCTGCTAACTTAAATTCTCCTTATAGAATATTTTTTCACTCTTTAGTGTTACAAAAAATATGTTAAATTTGCTGATCGAGCAGCTAAATGGAAACTTTGCGTTTCATTCTAAAGTGCTAATCTGTGATCTTTGTTTATCATATTTATAAAAAAATCATAGAGTATTATGCAAACATTCTACTCATAAATGTAATTCGAGGCTTGATGTTGCTATTCATAGCGTTCTCCTAGTTATGAAACTTGTGTATGTATATGTTTTACTATTTTGGAATTGTATTTGAATGTCAAGAATCCTTAAGTAAAGCACATTTAGCAATTATAATGGCAATTGCTCAATATATTTAAATTCAAAGTATACAATTGATGCTTTCTCACTTTTCCCATCTGTTTATGCAGCCTAAGGACTTTGTTGCAATAATAGTTACTTGCAAATGTAGTGATGATTAATCATTCATACCTTACATAATTATTATTTAACTACTTTATCTTAGAAAAACTTTATCTTTTCAATTTGAAGAATTAATAGCATGAATCTGCTAAATAATACTATCTCGAAGGTGAATCTATTCTTAATTTGATGGCTATATCAAAATAAGTGAGACCTCAATAGTATTGCTGAAGAATATCTCAATCTTATTAGTCTTGCTCATCTCTTGGCTAATATCAATCATTTATTATTAATTTTTCCTCACTGATATGGATAATCTCTACCAGCTGTAAATATTTTAATCATTCAAAACTTAACTTCTTGGATTTTGGTAGCTGCATCTTAAATTTTTTCAATCATTTCTTTAAATCGCAAATGAACAAAGCGCAAAGTGTTTCGCCTATCTTAGTCATATAAATCAAGTATTGACATAATTTATTTCTCCTCTTTTTATCTTAGTAGAACTGTTTATATTTCACTGCTTGCTTAAATCTATCACTAGAATTAATATAAGTGATGCTTCAGTTTAATTCATAAGTGTGCCTGCGTTTTTGAAGCCACTCGTAGTATTCTTCATCCTCTTGCATTAAATGCAATGATCAAAGTGCTTACACAACTTGTGCCGGTATAATTTCCTTCATTATTATCCTTGTTCTAATGTTACTATTATTAAATTCAATTTTTTAATTTTTCTAAAGTCAAACAATAAGGCTATGTTGCATCAAAAAGCTAGTATTATGCATATAATATTTTTAATCTTTCTAAAGTTTACTCTTGTTTTCAATAGTGGATCCAATTGAAAGCAATCTAGCCCGCATATCATAATGTGTTTAAACTGCTAAAGCATTAAACTAGAAATCATCTGCACTTTAGATATGTCAGACCAACATATAGAGTTTGCTCAATGTGTTACCACATTACTTTACAATCAGTTAAATGTAAAATAGCATTAAAAGAAATTGATATGATACAAAGATTGCATATATTAATAATACAACCATACTGAAAAATAAGCACAATTACAGCAAGTGGTTATTAAGTTGTTCCTGTGTTTGCCCCCTGATACCGATATGGATGAGCTTGTATATATTAATATTCATAACTAAATACACTTTGTCACTTTCTTTTCTTCTATCCTGAATTGTAACACCTTTGGTTAACTCTCCTTTTAGCAGCTATCTGAAGGTTATGCTCAAGTGCATAGTAATTATAATATTACTTGCAATTCTTTCACTTTAAGGCTTTATACTTATATCAAACAAAGAGCTTTCTTAAGCAAAAATTAATATCGTTACTTGTTCATCATTTGGAATATTGCATATTAAGAGGAATTTATGAGATTTGTAAATCATACAAGAATTAATGTCCCTAAATTTTATGCATGCTGTAATAAATTAGCGTGAATAGATTTTCTACAAAAGTTATTTATTTTTTTGTAAAGGTGCCAATCTAAATCAATTCCAACTATTTGTGATAAAATATAACTTTCCTTTAAGCAGAAAACCTACTGCACCTATATAAAGTATTTCGCAGATTAGTTATTTAATATCATCCATATAAGAACTCACATGATAATTTTGTCCCATGTGCAACTCCTATAGAGTTTTGTTGAAATTGGTTGGTAGATCTTTTTGAATATTCTGATGTTTCTATAATCTCACGTAAACAAAGGAATCAAAAAGTATCTAGAAATTAAAAACGGATTTCATAAAACTGAATGATGAAATGATATCAGACCACAAACCACTATCAACGATGATGAGAATAGGAAGAGATTATTGTATGCAATACCCTGTCCTAGTTGAAAAAGAAGTGAAGAGTTAATTCTGCGAATGGAATAAGAAAGAGAAGAAAATGGACGCGGAAGGAAGAATTTAAGGATCTAATTTTCAAAGGCTTATTGGAAAAGAAATGAAACAGAACAAAGTTTGCTAAATTTCATTTGCCGAGAAGGGAAAATTTTTAAAGTTAATCCAACATGCAACCCATATTAGAGCGAAGATAGAAGGTGGAATTTAAATATAATGCTAAAAGATGGATAACAAATAACTGAAACAAAATGATCTTGCATGAATGTATTGAGAAATGAAGAGAATATCAGGTGGGTTAATAGAAGATGACTGGAGACCTGTAAACATCAAACAAATATTGATGGATCTGTAGCAGATGAAGGAAAATATAGTACTGCGACATTTTTGGAATTGTTTGAATAAGAGGGAGAATATAAATATATATTGAATGATTCAATAGAGCAATCTCTTATGAATAAGACCAAAAGTGCGGGAAAAACTTTACATTCTTTCGATCTGTCTGATACATATAATACAATCACAAGAGAAGCAGTATACAATATGATTCTGTAAGATGGTCTAATTGATAAAAACACCTTGACATTTATTTAATGCATATAATCAACTATACATATTTGATCCAATCACTAAGGGATGGTGTTCAGCAGGGGTCATCCTTGAGCCCCTTTTTGTTTAACATTTTCTTTGAAAAAGTTATTTTCAATACAAAAGCAAGATTGAATGAGATTTAAGAAAGTGTACCTAAAAAATAGAAGAAAATGAGGAGATGTTTGGATGAATTTGAAATTTTAGCCTATGTTGACGATATTGTAATTTGTTGTAGGAATGAAGTAGCCAAGATATGTGCTGAAACATTCATAGGGGCAGCAACTGGATTTGAACTGAAAGTCAACATCAAGAAAACAAAATATCTGGCCAACAAACTAGTAAAGATATAGAAGACCTATAAATTGAGGAAGTGCAGAACTTTAGATATTTTAGAGTATGGTTATCTGTGAGGGGAAACCTGAATCACTAATTAGAAAGAACACAGAAGATTGTCCAATAAAAGTCCTCACAGCTAGGAATTTTGAGGAAGATTGCGCCAATAATAAATTTAACTCAACTATGAACCCTTTACATATGGCCTTTGATTAGATATCATAATCTTGCAATTTGGAAGTAAATGAAATCAATAGTTAAAAGACGGTAATTGTTTAGGGGAAATTCCTTTAGAAATTAATGGACTTAAATAAGAGTTTCCCTACCCATTATCGATGGAATAATTGGAAGACTGAGACAATTAAGAATTGCATTATTCAGAAAACATCTGTTTAATTATGCTCCAGAGGGCTTTGTGTGGTATCAAGTCACATAACTTTGAGAGAGTAGTCAGTTATGAGGAATGACAAAGTGGGAAGAGGAATGAAAAACTAAGTCTTAAGAAGAATCTCAGGTTATGAATTTTCGAACCATTTAAACAAAGTCGGAGGACTTGCTCCTCACACAAGAAGAATATGGAATAAAAATATTATGGAAAACTTATTTAGAGAACTCGGTAATTGACTGGAAAATTTGGAAATGATTCAAGCATATGTCCAAGACACTGCAAAGCCCTTTTAAACGAGCTTTTAGAAGGCTATGAGGGAATCAATGTAAAAACTGGGCGAAAGAATCAAAAGTGAATTTGAACTCATCTAAAATCAAGAAAAACCTTGCCAACAATTACATATATTTTAACTTCATGATTATTATTATAAAACCTGCATTTTATTGTTATTAATTATAGAAATTTTAATCACCATATATTTATTAAATTATTTGAAAGGAAAAAAATTTGGACTTTTACTTTCATGGATTCTTTGTGAAGTATAAAACCCCAATTACTCACTGATATTATTGGATAAAATTTTGGATTTGATGTAAGAAAAATGAAATCCACTTTGATATACTAAGGTACACGAGATGGATTCAATGGATAATCTTTTTGGAAGGCAAGTTATAATAAAGAGAGTCTACTTACGATTATTTAATCCAAAAGTGAATATATCTTTGGAGCATATTCTCTTTGCAAATGGGTACCTGGTCAAGGTTAGACAGCAGATCCTACATATGCATCTTTTTTATTTTCATAAACTCATAATTTAGTCTATCCTTAGAAGTCGTGTGCAAGCGCAATTTATTGTTCTTTTAGTAATGGACCTGCATTTGGAGGAGGTCCTGATATTTGGAATGTGGAGATTTTATTGATGACTTTTCTAGATTAGGTCACACCTATCAGTTTAATTAATATCAAAGTGGAAAAAACAATCCTCATTCGTTAGGATAAATTTAGTCAGAAATAAAGGAATGCGAATTTTATGAAATATAATTTATTTGAAATTGATAGTTGATTTACTGAATTATAATTAATGATAATGGAGTTAAAAATAATGGAATTAAAATATAAACGGTCTGCTAATCATTGAGTGTCCTTATTTTATCTTTATTAATTGTATAACTCCCTAGAAACAAATCATGAATTAGTGGAAATATTAGAAGTTATTATTTGAAGAGTTTATACGAAAATCCCTCAACGAAAATGAATTTAATAATTATTAAAACACCATATTTCACAAAAATTTCATATATATAAATTTTATAAAACCTATTACAAAATTATTGATAACAAAAATCATCTGCTTTTTCTTCACTTTGTTATGCCATTAATAAACGTTTTCGATACAAAATTTTTATTATATTAAGATTTTATTGACTCTAATTTATTTAACTTTTATAAAATTATTGTTTTCAAAGACTTTAATAATGATTCTACCATAATTTTTGTTTACTTTTAATTTATAGTCTAAGCTTCGAAAAGCTGAAAATTTAATATTTATAAATATATACAATTGCATAAACAAGATATTTCTTTTATTATTTTTTCTGATAATTGATGAGAAAATATCAATTCTTATAGGTTCGACTGGAGAACAAGTGGCATACTTTTTGGTAATTATTTTTTATGGAAAACTAATTATAGCCTAATAGTTCTAAGTTGAAACATAGTTGGAGGAGAAATTATTTTATAAAGTAGCTTCAGAAAATGCATCTGAAAATAAATTCAAAAGTCATTGTTTATATTCAATCAATGAAGTTTGAATAGTTAAAACAAATAGCTGTTCCATGGCTAAATGAAATCCTGGATATGGCAATTATATAAGAGGCTCTATACTTATAGAAGTGATGTTAGTATGTATGAGATTGGTGCAACAACTGCTTCAATATCATGAAAAATTCGTTTTCATTTACAGACACTATTAACTCTAATTCTAATTCAATTCTCAATTCTTTTCTTTAAGGTTTTTCTCAAATTCTATTTTATTAAAATCAACTTATTTTTAAAAAAGCAATGTGTATTTTGAGAAAAAGCATTGCAATAAAGAGTTCTTATTGAATAAAATGTGTGAAAGGATTCTTTCTTATAATCATTCTAACTTTCAAGAAGGACAAATTAAATAATAGGATTTGGAATCAATACTTAGATTGATCTTTAATTTAGAATTTTTTTGGCAATTTTAATAATATATTATGACTTTATTTATAAGACATAGAGAAATGCAAAATATCGTTGCATATACAAAGAAAAGCATTCTAATAAAATTTGATCCTACTATTACAAAAAAGTTTGAGTGTTAAGTTAGAATGATAAAAATTAAAAAAATAGATATAGTAGAAATTTACAAAATTTAAACTAAATGAAAATTTAAGATTTATCAATTGTGAATAATATCTTTAAGAATTTATGTCCTGGCGAGTTCTGACACTCAATTACTTCTTATATTAAGGTTAATCTTATTGGATTATCTACACATCCTTTCTCAAGGGAACATTATAGTAGTCACCCAATTTTTTTCTTATTTCTTAACAAAATCAAATAATGTATGATCTACAGATCATCTATTAGAGAATGATTAGTTCAATGGTATTATTATCTAAGCAATCTTGTCAGGTAACTATCCCCAGCTATATGTGTTTATCTATCCTAAGGAATTTGTGATAAAGTTCGAACATTATTAATTTTTGACTGACTGCACATTCTGACTTTTTTTGACATTTGTAATTATCTAATTTAAAACCCTTTCTTCAACTAACCTTTTCTATTGCTACTCGTGGTTTTCATAATGTACTTTATTCTCTCCATAATCCATTTCCTTTTTATCTTACCAGCAATTGAGGTTTCTCCTAAACATTAAATAATCCATTACTCCCCCTCTCTAAGCTGAGTCCCTCCAAACAAGAAATTTTTAATCCAGAGTCAGTCATATCACTATTTCCATCTTGCATCAAAGATATGATAAGTAATTCAGATATAGATAGGTCAGCCTACGACTTCTTCTGAAGTGATTTTGACTTCATTTGTTCAAGTGGTCATCATGACTCCAATCTTTCTTGAACTATAAGTAAATTTTTATGTGAATTTTATAATTTTTTATAAAATTATTTAAATTTGTGAGTATGAAAACATAAGAAACTCGTTTTTTAATTTTATATAATAGATAAGATCTATAGTTAAGTAAGGAATTCTATTTAATTGAGCAAATATGCATAATACTTCGATGCAGATCTCCAATATTTGAATTTCTAACAATAACTCTTCCCTACGTAATCTTTTTCAGATTGTCACTTCGAAATATAAGAATTTTAAATATTGTTATAATCACTTGAATAGAGTAAATTTTGATTAAAGCTGTAACAAAACTAAAGAAAATATTTTTCATAATAAATCTGATTAATTAATTTTCAATATAAGTTTAATCGTCTATTTTGAATTTGAGCAAATTTATCTTTCTTTATAAAGTACTCGATAAAAGAAAGGAATAAAGAGATACTGGTTTGTGTTCATATTTCGGTTTTTCTTTAATAATAATTATTATTTTGTCCCTAATTCAATTTTCTACTTTTATAAAATAACAACAATTTTTAATGATTATTCTAATTTTTAATTTTGTAATCCTTATGAAATTGAAGTGAACTTTCATTAATAATTTGTTTTGACTTTTGTTCCTTAGATAATTTTAATATCATTTGCTCATAATATTTAAATATATTATATTCAATATGATTTGTGTATTCTGTTATGCAAATTCTCTATACTTTTATAATAAACTCTTTCTAGTTGATGGATAAGAATTATTTTAATAAAGTTAAAATTAAAAAAATCATTAATGAGTTGGCATTAGCTAGCAAATAGATTCTGGTCAATAGATAAAAGAAATCAATATAATTGAGTATCTAAAATTATTTCTTTGGTACTCCAATTCCAAACAATTGCAAATGTTAATACAATAATACCTAAGAGTAGACAAAAGTCATTATTTTTTATAATACAGGCTTGATTTTTTTTGCTTTCTGCATTACACATTGATAAACATTTTTCCATAGTTAACGATAAAATAACAAGAAGTATTATGAATCTCATTTTGTTTTTCAGTTTCTAATCTGTCATCTAGTCTTCGAATAGACTTAACCCTTGTGGTTGAACTAGGTGAAAATGCTTATTACTCTCAGATCCTATCTTATTATTTATATTAATATAGCTTTAAAATTTATTATGTGGTTCTGACCACTCCTATGGCATAAAGAGGAATATATTAAAAGCTATCATTTATGATAATATCTAAAATTCTACAAATTTGTAACAAGAGAATAAATTTATATAGACATTAATTTTAAACCATCCAAATCTGGGAACCTAGAAAGCAAGATCGAACTTTATCATAAATTATGGAATCTGAAAGTAATACTTGAAATAAACTGGTGCATCGATAAATTTTCACTATCTTAGAAAAGGTCACTTGGCTTGATACATTAGGATTCATCAATAATTATGTGATTTTACTGAGGTATTATGTCACGCTATGTGAGTTCTAAAGAACTGGTCTAAAATATCTTCTTACAAATATTTATGATGAGTTTAGCTCTTCACATTCAAAGGATTTAGTTCATAACGAACTTAGTTAGAGACGGTGGAGCTACTCTTCGGTACATTCTATTGATATCATTCATGCTGGTGATTTATAAAGATTTTTCAGAATTGCAATAAATATTTCCATTCTACTATAACTTAAATATTTAATAGCTGCAATATTATCTCAATATTTACAGGCCTAGAATTTATTATAGTTTGATAAGCAATAAATAGTTTAACTGATTCTGTATTATGTAAATGAGGTTGAAAATAAAATTCAATTGCGAGTTCTTTTAATTTAATCAACAGTTTCTTTGGGTCCTTATAATTGGCAGAACTGATCCAATAAAAAAGGATGTTTGAATAATGAATGAGGATTATTTTGCTAAATATAAAAATCACAATATTTCAATCGAAATATTATTTTAAATTCCATATTTATAAATATTAAATCTTTATCCTTTTGTTAAATGAATCCTCTGAAAGGTATCATTAATTAATTTATGAATTCAATTTATCAACAAATCAGGCACCTTCATTTCCAAATTAATCATTAATGACTGCTTGTTATGTTAAATGTTAAAAATGAACAATTTCAAATTAATTAATGGAATCTATACCTATTTATAACTAATTACATTGAGTTTTGATTAATTTTATATAAAGTAGTTGATTTATTATTTTAAACACATTTATATCAAGATTTCCATATAAGACTTCAAAATCTTTGCTAAATTAGAAATATTTATCATACTATCTATGCAAATCAGATATCTAGAGATGATATCTATATTAGAGAGATTATATTTCCACTTCTGAGCCAATTTACTTTTCTTTGAGATTTGATTTGATTTTGAATATAAAATATCATTTTTCCCACCCTATCTAAAGTAATAAATAGATTTTATTGGTTTCCCTCTTTAAATTAAAAATTGTATAACTGATAATAATACTTGACCAATATTATGTTTGATTTTTTGTAGCGAAATAGAATTCCTTTTAATTATAAAAATTTCCTATCATCATTTGACATTCAAGAATTTTTAAATTGAAATCTATAATTTACTAACAAACGTCATCAATTTTTAACTTAAAAACTCAGATTCTAAAGTTCAGTTTTACAAAAAGATGGAACTAATATCAAAGAAATTTATTTATGATAATTTCATCTGTTTTTCAAAATTTGTAACCTTCCTTTTAGAATATAATTTTCGAGCCAGTAGCTTGAGCTTATTTTTCTGAAGAAAGAATATATTAGAAAATAATTAGATAAATAATGATTCAATAGCATTAGATTTAGCATTATTATTGGTTTGATGTACATAATTAATAAATTTCTTATTCATATCAAATTATTAAGATGCTCAATAAAGGATTTTTATCCTGTTGGAACCAATCATATCTTAAACCCAGCCAAATAAAAAGTTCATTTACCTTAATTTCAGCAAAATGAAGAACATTTATAGAATAAACAAACAGCAAGATATATTGTGAGTAAATAAAAACTTCTCATTGATAGAGCTTGATGAGAATGACTTTTCAATATTTTAAAGCATTAATTTGATCTTTATGGATTAATAAACCAAAAACTTCCATTAAAAAAATCAATTTATTACAAATATAAAAATGAACTGTTAATGTTAATATGATAACTTAAATTCTTTATCATTCAAAAGTCATTTGATATATTTCGCATTCCTAAACATTTGGCTCTAGAGCCCCCATTAAATAGGATGAATATTTTGACGTATCAATTCCATCAGGAGAGTTGTATACAATACCTAATCTAGAGTATCCTGATTTAAAATCTGGGTTTATTCTCAAGTCTTAATCACAGTTACTAGTACCTCCAAATAATAGATATTCATCTGTAAAATATTAGGTATAAGATCCCATTTATTATTTTATCGGATAAATTTCCCTTAAAGTTTATGAAAATAAAAAAGAGGGATTTTCTTAACAGAGACCAGAATATCCTATCTACCATTTATAGGGAGTAAACCCACCAAATACTTAGCCATTTTTGTTCGATGATTTAAAGTACCAGAGCAAATTTTCCTCTCCAATAATCTTATTTTTAATTAATTAATAATTTAGCCCATGCTCTATACTATGATAAATTTTTTTGTTTGTTTGTAAATTTTTCTTAACTTTTTCTTATATCGTTTTTATCAAATCATAAAAGAATCCACTCTCTCCAAATTTGAAAAATACCTTGTGATTTTCTGAAGTTTTGGCTATTGCATTAATTATTTCTTAAAATAATTCATTTGAATGTGTTCTAGATATATCTTCTCATAATACTTATTATATATATATTTATGAAGTTCTTGCAAATTTAAAAGATCTTTTTAACTAACTCCTAAATCAATGATCCTTATTTAATTAAAATAATTTTAAAATTATTTTTGTGCCTATTGAATTGACTCAGCCTAACCATTTTTATCATAACTATACAGATTTTTTAATATTTATTTGAATTCATCATATTTAATAATCTAATATCACTCTATTGAAATACATTACAAAAATTTGTTGTCCATTATTAAAAATAATCTTGCTTCATTGATTCATAATAATTAATTAATTATTCAATTATTTATATTACTCCATTTAGCTATTATTTTTAATCTTCAAAAAACTTAGTAATCTAAGATTCTTCTATTGGTAAGAATTTGAGTACGTTGGTGAATTGAAATACCTAGTCTGGATGATCACGAATCTAAAATATATATAATTTACTTATTCTAGATCTATGATTTAATGAATTTTAAAATCCTTTTATGTTTTAGCTAATTCCAGAAGACAAGAACCGCAAATTAATTCTGAGTTATCACTCCGAAGAAAATTTAAAGTTTAGCAAAATGGAAGATTTTCCATTAATTTCTATTACTTGAGAAGATTATTATTAATTATTTTTTTATATATGTTTATAGAAATAATAAAGTGTAATTCTACCAAGTTTAAATTGATTTAGACTTTAACTGGATAAATAGATAAAATATAACAACTCTCATTCATAAAGCAAATACATGCATCCATAAAATATTTCACCTCAGAGATTCTTTGAGAGTAGGGCATGAGAATTATTCTGAAAATATTCTTGTAATTTGCTTTCGCTTATATGCTCCTCATATATACTCTACAGGCACATCTAACTTGTATGTATATTTTATATCATAAAGAATAAAAATAAAAAGAGAAGATCATTTTAGAGAAAAATTCCAATGAATATCATTACTAGTTTCAAATGAGATTCCCGGAAATTTTATAAAATGCCTTAATTAATATAAAATAGAAATCACCATAAATAAAAAGGAGAAGATTCATAAATCCTAAACAGAAATTAAAAAATTATGTAGAAATAATTATGGTAACCATTTTAGAAGATATAAAAACATTTTATAAACCATTAAACAATCATAGAAATGTAAATGTTCATCCATTAAATTTAAGTAAAGCATGCTACTCAAGAAATAAATATTTAAGTATAAAAATTGAATGAAAAGGAAGAAAAAAGGCTTGAAAAATAAATGATATATATGTTTGATCGAAGATGCAGAATAAAAAAATAATTAAAAGAAAGTGTAGTTTTACTTTAATTATAATAAAAGCAGTATATTTAGTAAGAATCATGCATTTGATTACTTTATAGTAAAGATTAAAAATAGTCTTTAAAATCGTGTAGTTCCCATTTGTTAATATTGTATGACTGATTAGCAACGTGCAATGTAATTATTTATTTATAAAATATTTATGATGATAATCTTCAACAAAACTACACAATCAAGGAATGCATTTAGGTACAATTCAATTTACATAAAACCCATAGTTTTCAATAGTATTCAGTAATTTGGGTTTAAAATGAATGCGAATGTTATTAATCCTTATAAATAACATAAGTATATTAATAATAGAACAATGATGGGCAAGAGAATTTAAGTTGGATTGCCTAATCACTTTAAAGGTGTCAGGATTTCTTTCTAGTTATTTTAAAGGAAGATATAGTATTGAATTTTATAAACTACACATTAATTTAAAGCAAAAAATGTATTATTAATGGATATTAATGGAAGATTTATGAAAGGGTGGTATTGTTGATGAATGTAAATTTGATAACATTCAAAATTCTTGTTTTTTGATTGATGAAAAATGAATCAAGCCAAATAATCGGAATACTTTAAGTTTTTGCCATCCGAATAAAAAGGAGAATGCAAAAGTTATATTGAAACGATCATTGAATCAAAAAGTTTTTGATTCAAATAATGAAAATAGAAAATGTATTTGTAATGAATACCTAAGTAGATGATTTTGAAAATCATCCTACCTGATGTCTTAGTTGTTGAATAATTACTCCGGTTTTAAATATAGCTTTAGTTAATATTTATTTTCACAACTAAAGTGAATGCAAAATATTTAAATTGTATTTTTTGGAAAGGGAACAGCAATAGTGAATTAGCTTTCTAATAGTTAGCAACTTATCATTTGTGGTGATTTTAACTATTTTTAAAAATATTAGAAATTCGTTAATTTCTTTGATAAACTCAAAGCAAGTTTGAATTATGAAAGAATGAATTCTTCAATATCCTAAAATCAACTCTAATCCTCCATTAGCAACAAAGAGATGGAGAAATATTTAATTGGTTCATTAATGATGATAAAAATTATGTACAGGAAAAGAAATATTCACTAATTGCATAGAAATATTAGATAAATTATCAAGCATTGAGCATTAATGTTCGAAACCCATTCCATAACTACACGAATTAAATTAAGAGGAAATAGAATATATACAAAAAGGAATGGCCTCTAATAAAGCAATCTCATTCCATTATATAATGCATTAATTCATAAGATTTTGCAATTGGAATGTCAAAAACGAAATTTGGAACGAAAACTCATTTACAATCAATAAGAATCTTGGATGGGTAAGGTTATGCCCACTGAACAAATGCTACCCTGAAATAACTAAAGGAATATTGCCGATCTCTAGTTATTATGAGAAAGGGAACCTTGGTGATATCATATATGTCAATTATAAAGGGTCCTTTATTAAAATTCTTGCAGTAGTACTTTGATACCTCATGCTTCTTCATTTTTACCTTACTCGTTTCATAATAAGCCACAAGGCTTTTGAACTTTGAAAAACTTTGATCAATAATTTATAGTATAAATTCATTTGAAGTGCTATATAAAAATTCCGCTATTTTACTTTCTTTAATTATTCAATCTCTTAATTAGTTTATTTTTCTTATAAAAAAAATAAGCTCTCTAAAATCTTACCTATTATTAAAATTGACATAGAAGTTGATTCAAGTGAGGTTGTTTATGAATCGCTGAAATAATTAATAAAGCTTGTTCAGGAGGTAGTTTTTAATTAAAAAGTTATTATTATTCAATCTCCATCGATTTCGAAGTTTTATCATTAAAAGCAACTTATTTTACTGCTCCTTTCTAACAATAGGTTATGTGCTTACAATACAATTATCTTCAAGTATCATCAACTACCTAATCCTAGCCTTAAATTTGGATAATTTGACCCTCCGATTATTCTTGTTTACAAGTTAGGGATCAAGTTCTACCTCAATCGCCTTTTTTAACTGACCTATACTTAGTAAACTAGATTGCTATTCCATCACAAAAGAGTATGCAGCTTTGATTTACAGAAAACAATACTAAAGATTAAAAACTTTGGAATTTGGTTCTAGAATTGCCTTAACCATGAAGTTTTAATTAAATAGAGAACGATCTTTTAGAAGAACTATAAAAATTCGGTAGGATAGCTTAAGTCAAAAGTGGTTTAATTTTTGAATGAAGATTTAAAGTTTTCCCCTTCAAAAACACCTGTTTGCAAGCCAGATATTATTTAAATATTGAGTGTAATACTTCCAATATATTTTAAGCCAAATTTAGTTAAGCTAATCTAGAAGCCACAAGTGCATCATACTGCTTAGATCATAATAAGTCTTTGACCATTATGGTCCATTCTAAATGGTTTTCTCTCAACACCCTGATCCCAATTCTTTTATTTATCACCAGCCTGCCTAAATTTGTTCTAAAATAGCTTCAACTTAATTCAGCTTACTTCTTTATCTCAGCCAGTAAAGAAGCATGAGTTCATAGAACTAGTTCAGCTAAACAAAAAGCTAGCATATGAGCCTTGTCAATGAAACTATTATGTGTCCCTTAATTTTAGGTTTCTTATTTCCATTTTTTTGAATTTACATATATCTTTCTATTAATTATCATTTTCCTTGATTTTATTTACATATTCATTTGATTTTTAAAATATATATAATTCATTTGAATTTATCTGATACTTCCAAATACAGTGTTCTTTTCTTAGTGTTTGTAGAAAGATTTTGAATGATTACTTGTACTTAAATTCGAGAATAGAAAAAAAGTCTAGAGAGTCCGTAAGAAGGTTTTAGGTAATGTTATTAACTAGCTATCTCAGATTAGATCACTTATAAACTGTGTTTGTTCTTAGAATTTTTTCAACTATAATTTAAAAATGATATATATTTTCTGAAATAATCATATATCACTTATATTTCAATTCTACTTAACTTTCCAAAAAACAACTCCCTTTGGATTTGAAAAATTGTCTTAAATCTACACCATAATAATTTACAAATTCTCCTTGCTCTATTAATGCATTTTGAGCTTAAAATATTGGCTTTTTAAAAATAAGAAGAATAGGTGTTATTGCGTTTACTATAAGAATAATTACAATAAATACCACTTTCTGAAAAAGGATTATATTATAAAGGTAGCGTTTTCATTTATGCTGGCATACATTCATAATTTTAATCAAAATATGGGATTTCGCTTTCTATATTAACATCCCAAAAGTAAATAGATGAATCATCACTACAAAATGCTATTTTAGTACCCATCGGAGAGAAGCATACTGAATTGATACAATTACTATGACCTTATAATTTTGATTTTAAGTGTCCTGTCTTTAAATTCCACAACAATATAGAGTTATCTGAACTACCAGATGCTAATGAAGTACCATCAGGAGAAAAACATACTGAATTGACAGAATCGCTATGAACATTCAAAGTTGATTTTAATTGTCCTGTCTTTACATTCCATTAACGAATAGACTTATCAACACTACCAGATACTAATGAAGCACCATCAGGAGAAAAACAGACTGTATTGACACTGTTGCTATGACCATTTAATTTAATTTTTAATTGTCCTGTCTTAACATTCCATAAACGGATAGAATTATCTTTGCTACCTGATGCTAGAGTACAACCATCAGGAGAGAAGCAGACTGACCATACTGAATCAGTATGACCATCTAATTTTGATTTTTCAAATCCTGTCTTAACATTCCATAAACGGATAGAGTTATCTACACTTCCAGATGCTAATGAAGTACCATCAGGAGAAAAACATACTGACCAAACTGAATTAGTATGACCATCCAATTTAAATTATTATTTTTTTGCTTTAAAATCCCATAAACGGATTGACATATCTCTACTACAGGATGCTAATATATCACCTTCAGGAGAAAAGCACACGGATAAGACTCCACGAGTATGGCCATCGAATTATAATATCTATAGGCCTGTGTTAAAATCCCAAAAACGAATAGACTTATCATCACTACCTGAAACTAATAAAGTACCATCAGGAGAGAAACAGATTGAATTAATAATGCTATTATGACCCTCTAATTTGTCTAATTATTATCCTGTCTTAAAATTGTATAAATAAATATATTTATCATCACTTTAAGAAGCTGATAGAGCTCCATCAATAGGAAAACTGCCTTAATTAAAACTTTTAGAATAATCACCTAATTTGGTTTATTATTACATGGACTAAATATCCCATAAACGGATAGACTTATCATCACTACAAGATACTAATATAATACCATCAGGAGAGAAACAGATTGAATTAATAGTGCTAGTATGACCATATAATTTAGCTTTTTATTATCCTGTCTTAACATCCCATAAACAGATATATTTATCATAACTACCAGATGCTAATATAGTACCATCAGGAGAGAAGCAAACTGAATACACTGTATACTAATGACCTTCTAATTCGAACTTTTTATATCTTGTCTTAACATCCCATAAACAGATAGATTTATCATAACTACCTGATGCTAATATAGTACCATCAGGAGAGAAGCAAACTGAATAAATTATATGCTAATGATCTTCAAATTCGAATGTTTATTATCCTGTTCTAGCATCCCATACACGGATAGAGTTATCATAACTACCAGATGCTAATGTGGTACCATCAGGAGTAAAACTGACTGAACTAACACCATTAGTATGACCAACTAATATGGCGGTTTATTTTCCTGTTTTAACATCCCATAAACGGATAGACATATCTTCCTTCCAATTCTTCTATCCACTACCAGAAGCTAGGGTTATACTATCAGGAGAGAAACAGACCGAATTAACACTATCAAAATGTCCAACTAATTTGGCTTTTTATTATCCAGTCTTAACATTCCATAGCCGTATAGACTTATCATAACTACCAGATGCTAAAGTAGTACCATCAGGAGAGAAGCAAACTGAAAATACTGTATATTAATGACCTTCTAATTAGAACTTTTATTACCCAGTCTTAACATTCCATAGCCGGATGGACTTATCATAGCTACCAGATGCTACTGTAGTACCATCAGGAGAGAAACAGACTGAATATACAGCCTTAGTATGACCATCTAAATTGACTTTTTGTTACACTGTCTTGACATCCCATAAACAGATAGACGCATCGGAACAGCCAGATGCAGATGCTAATGTAGTATTATCAGGAGAGAAACAGATTTCATTAAGATTATCTGTATGACAAACTAATTTGGTTTTATTTAATCCTTTCTTAACATCCCAAAAGCGGATACAATTATCTGCATTACCAAATGCTAATATAGTACCATCAGGAGAGAAACTGACCGAAATAACACAATGATCATCAAAATCTAATTTACTTTTTAATTATCCCGTCTTAATATTCCATAAACGGATAGAACAATCTCCACCGCATTTATAATCCCCACTACCAGATGCTAATAGAGTACTATCAGGAGAGAAAATCACTGAATTAACACGACTAGTATGACCATTTAAATAGGCTTTTTGTTATCCTGTTTGTATATCCCACAAAATTATAGACTAGTCCTCGCTGCACGATGCTAATGTAGTACCATCAGGGGAGAAACAGACGGAATAAACAGCCCTAATATGACCACATAATTTGACTTTTAATTATAATGTCTTAACATCCCACAAATTAATAGACTAGTCCTCACTGCAAGATGCTAATATAGTACCATCAGGAGAGAAGCAGACTGAATAAACTGTAGCAGCATGAACACATAGTTTAGATAATTATTTCCTTGTTTTCAAATTCCATAAATATACAGATTTGTTACCACAAGTAACTAATATTGTACCATTAGGCTAGAAGCAGACTTTTGTTATCCTACACTTTCCTTTTAATAGAGATTTTATTTTTCTTGTTTTAATATTCCATAAATAAATGTCAGTACTACTAGAAGCTAATGATTTACCATCTGGAGAAAAGCAAATTGAGTTGACCCCACAATCATAACCTTTTAGCTCTATTCCATCATGCATTCTTAAATTCTTCCATTTACAATTATATAATTTTGCCCCATTAAGATTCATCCCGCTAACAACGACATTGTCAAATTCAGATCCACTCAAATCACATCTGGCAAAATTAGCAGCCAGCAGTGAGGTATTTTGAATTTTAATATTTTCCAAGGATTGCGACCTTAGATCAATTTTCATTTCTACTAACAAATGAAGAGAATTTGATCCGCTTTAGATGAATTTATTATCAATGGAAGTGAGATGAACTAAATATCTTAACAATTCAATTATGTTTTCATCATTACATATTTTCTTAATTAGAGCTTATTTATTTTTTATATTATCTTCATTGGAATAATTAATTATATTAAAGTCATGACCATTAATTTATTTCATAACTTATGTAAAATACTTAATATCTTTTATCACCTTGTTAATGTTCTCTTTTGTATATGGACTTGATAAAAAGTCAAATTCTATAATGTGTTTTACCCAACACTTTTGGTTTTCTACTTGAGATAAAAAGCTTAAAGAATCTGAAATTGATTCTTTTTTAAACATTTCAATTATTAATTTGAATATTTTGTTATCCAGATATTTTGAGGCAGCTAAAACTTCATACAATTCTTTTTTGCATCCTTAAGCCTTTGATTCATTCGAAATTGATTTTATTTTTGTAAAATTCATTAAGAAAAAATAAATTGTTGTTAATTTCTATTACTTCTTTGAATTATATGTATTAATTTGATTAAAAATATATGAATTGATTAGGAAAAGATAAAACCATTCCTTATCCTTTAAAAAAGTGGATAAAATAAGCTGGTTTTGGTCAATAAATTGCTCCAAAAGTGTTAGATAATGGAATACATAATAAATTACATATTTTAACGTCAATATGTATTATGAACAATATTTTCACCTTACCTTCAAAAAAAAACAAAGGTTAGATTAGATGCCTAAAAAATGAGAGAAAATTCAAAGATTCTAGTTTTTATTTAATGAGCGAGAGGCTGATTTATCAACTTNTTTTGTTACACTGTCTTGACATCCCATAAACAGATAGACGCATCGGAACAGCCAGATGCAGATGCTAATGTAGTATTATCAGGAGAGAAACAGATTTCATTAAGATTATCTGTATGACAAACTAATTTGGTTTTATTTAATCCTTTCTTAACATCCCAAAAGCGGATACAATTATCTGCATTACCAAATGCTAATATAGTACCATCAGGAGAGAAACTGACCGAAATAACACAATGATCATCAAAATCTAATTTACTTTTTAATTATCCCGTCTTAATATTCCATAAACGGATAGAACAATCTCCACCGCATTTATAATCCCCACTACCAGATGCTAATAGAGTACTATCAGGAGAGAAAATCACTGAATTAACACGACTAGTATGACCATTTAAATAGGCTTTTTGTTATCCTGTTTGTATATCCCACAAAATTATAGACTAGTCCTCGCTGCACGATGCTAATGTAGTACCATCAGGGGAGAAACAGACGGAATAAACAGCCCTAATATGACCACATAATTTGACTTTTAATTATAATGTCTTAACATCCCACAAATTAATAGACTAGTCCTCACTGCAAGATGCTAATATAGTACCATCAGGAGAGAAGCAGACTGAATAAACTGTAGCAGCATGAACACATAGTTTAGATAATTATTTCCTTGTTTTCAAATTCCATAAATATACAGATTTGTTACCACAAGTAACTAATATTGTACCATTAGGCTAGAAGCAGACTTTTGTTATCCTACACTTTCCTTTTAATAGAGATTTTATTTTTCTTGTTTTAATATTCCATAAATAAATGTCAGTACTACTAGAAGCTAATGATTTACCATCTGGAGAAAAGCAAATTGAGTTGACCCCACAATCATAACCTTTTAGCTCTATTCCATCATGCATTCTTAAATTCTTCCATTTACAATTATATAATTTTGCCCCATTAAGATTCATCCCGCTAACAACGACATTGTCAAATTCAGATCCACTCAAATCACATCTGGCAAAATTAGCAGCCAGCAGTGAGGTATTTTGAATTTTAATATTTTCCAAGGATTGCGACCTTAGATCAATTTTCATTTCTACTAACAAATGAAGAGAATTTGATCCGCTTTAGATGAATTTATTATCAATGGAAGTGAGATGAACTAAATATCTTAACAATTCAATTATGTTTTCATCATTACATATTTTCTTAATTAGAGCTTATTTATTTTTTATATTATCTTCATTGGAATAATTAATTATATTAAAGTCATGACCATTAATTTATTTCATAACTTATGTAAAATACTTAATATCTTTTATCACCTTGTTAATGTTCTCTTTTGTATATGGACTTGATAAAAAGTCAAATTCTATAATGTGTTTTACCCAACACTTTTGGTTTTCTACTTGAGATAAAAAGCTTAAAGAATCTGAAATTGATTCTTTTTTAAACATTTCAATTATTAATTTGAATATTTTGTTATCCAGATATTTTGAGGCAGCTAAAACTTCATACAATTCTTTTTTGCATCCTTAAGCCTTTGATTCATTCGAAATTGATTTTATTTTTGTAAAATTCATTAAGAAAAAATAAATTGTTGTTAATTTCTATTACTTCTTTGAATTATATGTATTAATTTGATTAAAAATATATGAATTGATTAGGAAAAGATAAAACCATTCCTTATCCTTTAAAAAAGTGGATAAAATAAGCTGGTTTTGGTCAATAAATTGCTCCAAAAGTGTTAGATAATGGAATACATAATAAATTACATATTTTAACGTCAATATGTATTATGAACAATATTTTCACCTTACCTTCAAAAAAAAACAAAGGTTAGATTAGATGCCTAAAAAATGAGAGAAAATTCAAAGATTCTAGTTTTTATTTAATGAGCGAGAGGCTGATTTATCAACTTAATAAATAAAGCTAAACCAAAATTCTATATTTAGTAATATTTTCTTTGATTAAATTTAAAATTTATTAATCAAAATATAGAGAAACAAATATGTCAAAAACAATTAATAAATTCATCTAGACTCCCTAAAAATTCAAAGCATGCTATATATTTATTTCCATTCAAGAATATAAATGAATTTAATTACATTAGAACCATTCGTATAGTGGAGATAATGTTTTGTAATTAATCAAACCAATTATTTCGATACTTGATATTGTAACTTTGATTTTCATTTGTCTCTAGATTCATAATTAATTAATTAAAGAATATTTCCTCAAATTATAATTATTCAAGCCCATTTGATAGAATAAACTTCTAAATGATCTGAGAAAAGCAAATAAATCATTATCCATAAAATTAAAAATAATCTTATGTGTGTGTGTGTGTTAGTCTTATCTAAGTATTAATCTCTTTAATATTATGGTAAGATTTTAAAATTTATGGTATTCCAAGAGAATCATGGAGATACATTATCATATATCCTATTAAAATTTGATTTCAATTTATTAGATTATATCATTTTATTAATTTGGCTAATAATTTTGTTGTTAAAGTCGGGTGCTCGTCTATTTAAAACAGAGAAACTGTTAATAGATGTATGCTTTTTGGATTTCAAAATAAAATATAATAACAATTTAAAATAATTCTCCAACAAATTCTAATTCAATAATATAATCTAGAATTGGGATGATTGTCAGATTTTATCTATTATATTGAATAGTTTTGTTAGAGCTCAAATTTGATTTTTCAATTGTTGAAGGGGGTGTATTTAATCTGGTTTAAGCCCTAAAATGTTACTTTATATGAAGGCAAGGAGTGAAGGATGGAGGTTTGGTTGAAAATTTACAATGAACTAAAATGCTTCTACTGTATATATCGTGGTATCGTAACGCCTCCAAAATCTTATATCAATCATATATAAACAACATTCTGTAATGGCTCTGTGCAAAAAATTCTCGTTCTAAAGATGTGGAAATAATGGATTGATTAAATTGCAAAGTCAACATTACGCAGCAGCAGTTTGTTGATTGACAAGCAGTAGTAAACCTGAAAAAAAAATTACAAATTAATTATGTCCCTATCTAATCTTTTGGATTATGTACGAAATGATATACTTAATAGTTAGAATGAAAAGAGATTAAGCAAAAAGATCCGAAAGATTACCATACTATAAGGTAAATTTCATTTCGAATTTATTTAGGTATGATTTGAGTTAACCAAAGACTATCGTTTGACTTCGTGTTTATATCCTAGAGCTAACTCTATTTGGTGAAAACCATATGCTATTAGTTGCCTCACTCTCCTCTAAATTTTTCAATTAACTTGGATGTATTATTGTTGATGTGTTCCCCACTAAAAATCTTGAAAAAAACCTGAAGAAACAAAGATCTTTGAAAAAATTAAAGAAAATTAAGAAATGTATCCATTGACAGGAAATATGAGATTGAAATATTTTAAATTTAAATAAAGTAAAATTAGAACCAAAGTACTTAAAAAAATAAAGAATAATTTGAGGATTATTCATTCTCTAATTATACATTTTTTTTATAAATAATATAATATTCTAAAATAAAAATAATTTGTTTTTAAGCAAATCCTTTGGAAGTAAATCAAACAACTAAACTTGATCTTAAAAACGAAAAATTGAAAGGAATATTTGTAAATAAAATAAAAAATAGCTATTTAATAAATACTTTAGGATTAATGTATGAAGATTCATTATATTGTAGTATTTTGGTAATGAGAAAAGCAGGTTTCTTTAGAAAGAAGGTACACAATAAGGTCAGAAGATAAGATTGATAAGAAATATATAAAACCATTGTTCAAAATTAGAAAATTAGAATTAACAACTAAGTCAAATTTAGAGAGGGTATTCTTGGTGCTTCTAAAGTTGAAATCGATGATTAAGTTTTCAAAGTAATACATTACAATTGTATTGATTATAGTCATAAAATTATTGCATCAAATGACCGTAATATTCCAGAAAAGAAAAATTACATCATTATGGACTGATTCAAGAATAAAAATATTATAAAACGAATAGATAGGTCATCAATTAACATCAGTTACAAAGGGGTCTAAAAATATTTACCACATAGTATAGGATTTAAAACGAACTCAAAGCTAGAAGAAATAATTATTATAGGTTATGGTTATGAAAATGACAATTCACCAAAAAAGATTTCTTAATGTTGACTAATGTGAACTGTATAGTTAGACATTTACGATAAGACTTTACTAGTTTTGTTTACCTAATAAAAAAGAATAATTTAATGATAATATACAATTATGACGAATTACTTATACTACTAAAAGAAAAAGTTGATTTCAAATTCTCCTTATTTTAACAATTTAGGAAATTTTTAGGAAAGAGAATTAGTTTTGGTTGACTAAATTACTTATGTAGAGGTTTCTAATAAAATGAGGATAATTTGTCTAATTCATAAATTAGGTTAAGAATGCAAATTACTAAGCTCGTAATAACTATTTTAATAAAATACTATTTAATATTGCTATATTCTTGTACTTAATATCTATAAGCTAAGTTACACTTAATTGGAGATGGCAATACTGTTTTATAATATAAATATATATATATGCTTTGATAAATAGAATTATAAATAAAAACAGTTGAATTCCTAACAGTTACAAACTAACAACATGTTATCAGATTGTAACACTATTCGCAAAATATAAAGACAAGAATTTGACTTTCTTCATTTAGAATAAGGATTATACATCTCTAAAAAGCCTGAGAACTGAGATTCAAATGACTCATAGAATTTTTAAGATTAGTTTAAGCAAATATATTTTATTAATATCGCTCAGTCGATATATAATGATTCAAGGATCAATATATAAGCAATTAGAGAGATGTGCATTTACCGCAATTTATGTTGAATTTTATTACTAGCGAGACTAAGTTTGTTATTAGAAAAATCAAGTGTGTTATTATTATATCCTGTTAAAAAAAATACTGCTTCATCAGTGTAATATGAATTAAATTAAATAATGAAGCGATTTCCATTCACCATTTTTCTAAACGGTTGTTTAGAATAAATTAAAAGAAATACTATCTGATTTTAATTCATAATTAAATAACTATCCTGAAAATCTCTCAAAGTATATCATCTAACTACTTTAGAAATATATGATTTAATACGAAAAGGAGTTTTAGTTAACCATATAGAAATAACATGGTATTGATGTAGACTAGTTTATTGATGTCAGTTTATGATAAAACCTAAACGGTTATTTTTTCAGAAAATATATTTAAAACTTAATTGTTTTTTGCAATTTCATAATATGTACAATTCTAAATCTTGGGTGGCAATTCATTATATAAACAATAATCCTATGTTAAATGAGAATATAATACTATAGATATTTTGAAGTATAATTCATACAGTAAAAGCAAAGAATTCCCAAGTATATTATTTTTCACAATTATTTGAAAACTTTAGGGACGTCACAGTCAAATCCACATAATGAATTAGAAATGGAGTCGAATAATGATATTCTCATGTTTGAGGAATTACAATAAGAAAAATTTTTATTCCAAACTAACTCACTTTTTATCAACCTTTAAAATTGCTTTTTAATTTTACTGAAGTTTCTTCAAGTAAATAGTAGTATAAAAGAAAATGTATGTACTTTATCATAAAAAATAATAATAAATTATAGATACATTATTTAATAAGAAATTAGCACTTGATATTAACAAATTCTTATTAATTTGAATAGATAAAAAATGATTCGCATTATTAAAGTGCTTTCGAATAGTAATATCGTTTATAATTATAAGATTGAAACAATCTGGAAAAATGGTATAAATCTCTTGCGAATTAATCATAAATGTAAGGATCTATTCTATTTGAAATATCAGAATAAATAAATGTTTCATTATAGCTACTTAATTGTTAAAATGAGGATGAAAAATTGATTATATTTAAGTTGAATCGGGTATGTCAAATGAATTTTAATAAACAACATTGAATTATGTTGTTCAAACAAAGAAATACTATTCGTTTCCATAGTAATCAACTAAAATTTAATCCTGAAAACACTAAATTCCAAATAGTTTGTTAAGAGATTAACTTCCTTAAAAAGTCAGCAATTAATAGAGAAAACTGAGATTCTAAGTTAACCATCAGGTTTTCACTTAAATTTTACGACTAGTCTTATCATAAAAAGCTTTAACTATGTTTCAAAAATGCACTTTAGTCCTTTCTTAAAAATATCAGAACTAGTGTTTTTTAATCAACCTAAGCGAATTATATATACTAAATTCATAAGAGCTCGACAAAACGATTGCCTTAAATGAAAAGGGCTTAAATACATATAATAAAATTTCTTTCTAGATCTATTTGTGTAAGTATTTTTTGATAAATCCATCCACTTTATTTTAAGGAAATTAATCATCTGCAATACTCACAACTTTTTCCAACGCGTACCATAATTTTAACGAACTCAACAATTTAGACTATATATATAGATTTCAAATGAGAAGTTAAAGTATAGTTAAAATATTTATGATCCGAAGAAGTTATTTACATCAAGAATGATAAAACTTTAGGAAAAAATGAAAATAATAAAGTTATGGAGAAAAATGGAAGATTAGACAAGTAACTTCAAATTAATGTAAAATGTTGAATAAATTTGCTATTACTTAGAATGGTTTATTTTAAAAATAAAATAGTTGGAATCTGGAATACTTATGGAAATTAAAACAAATAGATGTCGGAGGGTATTATGATTAAAGTAATAAAAAAATAGGTTTAGATTTTTGGTTATTACTGGGAGTAATTACTCCTAAAATAATTAGGTTTGCATAAGTGAAATACTGAGGTTAATACAAATTAAAATTTGGTTTATGGGAAATATTATATTGGAATAGAATTATGAAATATTTGTTTAATGATTGACGTCAGATTATAAGAAAAATCAGGTGATAAAAATGTTGCGTGGATATATTTATTCACCTCTTGATAATACTGCAAATAGAATAAAATAAGGATATTTGGTGACTTTTTATAATAAATTGTATAAAAAAGAATATCATAATGTTAATATTTCTATTTGATTTGAGAGAGGTGGATTAGATAATCAAGAAGGGATAAAAACTGGATTTGGATTAAATTTAGTGAAACTTTTAGGAAGTAGTAAAAAGAGAATCTTAGAAATTCTCAAGTTACATAATTGGATCATATTAAAATGATCAGAAAAAAAAAAAGAGAAGGTTGTAGATTACAAAATTTTAGGAGACTGAAATGTAATAATATCACATAATTAGTGGTTAAATTGCATGAAAATATAGGAGGGTAATATGGAATTTAATATAGAGAAGCTGTGAAGTAATTTATCCATGATCTTTTAAGTTTGGAGATAAATGTGGAATTTGGAAAATATAGCATACATAATATGCAAATATCAAATTTTAAGTGATGTACTGAAATTAAATTATTCTAGTGGATGTTTAATGAAGGATTGAAAATAAGTTTATGGGCTACCATATTTTTATTGCGATAAATTGAATAACTAAAATACAACTGATATAATTACTTTCATTTAATATATTAATAAAGTATAATCTTTTTTAAAATTCATTCCATCAATCCCAAGCTAATAAATGTTGAGAAAATTCAATCTGTTAATAATTGATTAATTATAAAATCAGTCCTTTTGGATTTCTCAATACTTTAATGTAAATTTATTTTAATTATATCCTGTTCAGGTTTTACTAATCTGATTGATTTATTATTACAAATTTATTTCTAATAATGTATCTCTAGTTTCAGCGAAGGCATCTGTATCGAATCCCTTCTTTTAGATTCAATCATAATAATTTTTTCTAGCAAATACAGGAATCATTTATAAAATAAAATTCGTCCCAAGACTTTATCTCAAAAAAATATATCAGAAGAATTATTTTGGATATAGTAAGTGAATTTTAGACCAAAATTTTGATGAAACCAGTTTTAAATCAACTTCTAGCTTTATGATGACTCCAATTATATTGAAGAGAAAATATGAATATCCAGCTAGAAGATGTAATATGAAATAAAATTCAACTTGATTTACTAAGAGATTTGTTCTAAATAGTGAATCATTAAGGAATTCACAATTATTTATTCGTATCAGCTAATGTATTTGTTAATTTTATGCTAAATTCCCAGCTGTTTAATCCTAAATCGCTAACTGATAAAAAAGCAGACAGATTCTCACTAACATTGTTAGATTTCAGAATTCTTCAGTATTTTCATAAGAGTATGGGCAAATACTATGCTGTGACATTTTGGATTACAAGTTACCTAATTAGAATCTTCTCTTCAAGAAATTCTCTCTCAACCTTTATTTAGCATCGACTTTTTAGTTTAAAATTTAATAGTCTTAGGAAATAAATGCAGTTCTTTTTTCAATAAAAACAAACTTATTTAAACAATATAATATTTAATTTAAAAAGAATGCTAAATAAAATTCTACTTATTCCTATGCTTGCTGGATACATAATCTCTGATTAAGGTTGGTTTCAATAAGCGAATTACTTAGTTGACTCACAATTTTCATGTCAAAACAACATTTAACATTCTTATTTAGTTCCTTATTCGGAAGAATTTTTCAATGTTCCTCAAATAACTTTTTTTTGGAAATCACTTGACCTACAGTACTATCCAATAGGATTTCAACTTGAAATCTCAAGTATTAATACGCTCAGTAATATGTAAAAAAATATGTTTAGATTTTAATTTAACCATTACTTGTCCTTTATTGAGGGTTTATGGGGTAGAAAATTTTTTGGTTTGCAATAGATGATTAACGGATATAAATTATAAGCCAATTTAATACTAAAGATTTCAAACCTAAAATTTCATTTGAACATCAAAATCCGAATGCTGATTTTGGTATTATAATTCCAACAAGTTTTGCATTTTTAGGTCCATTTAATCTTTCAATTTAGGTAGACTACAACAAATTATATTTTAGATAACAGAAATAACTCCATAAAATGTCACAATCGAAATACAAAATTTAAAAAGAAAATAATTAATATTTAAATTAATTAGGATATTAAATAATCTTAGGCCCTGAAAATGCTTTCACGTTTATTGAATAAAGAACCCTTTCATCTCCATTTGAAAGTAATTAAATCCAAATATAACCATAATCATGGTTCTTTCTTATACTTCAATAATTAAATTATAATTAATAGCATAATTTGTATTATCTATTTGAAATTTATGAAGATTAACCATCGATATCTTACAAATATCCTTATTGTAAAGAATTTATTTGATTTTTAGGGGGAATTTTCAATGAAATTAAAATATAAGCATATTGGATGACATACTAATTAACAAAGAGTTATAGAAGCTTGCAATTAAAAAATATAGAAATCATTTATAAATAAATTCACAAATAATCAATCACACCATAAATTTAAGTTGAAATTTCAACATTATCAGATTATAAATAAATATTTAATTCAAGTGGGATTTTCTCTTTGCTCATTGGAAAATTTAATAATCTGCTTGTATTTAAAATATCTTACATCTGTAGACAGAGTGAAGTAGTTAAAATCAATTTATAGAACGGAGCTGTTAATAATAAATATTAAAATTAATTTGATTGCAACATTAAAATCAATCAAATAAATTATATAGTTGAATTTGATGTTTAATCTGATGCATATCAATAATTAATCTTAAACCTTACTGATAAAAATTGTTAAGTTTTGCAAATACTCTACAACTAGGTTAAGTCTTCAGAAAAAATAATTGAATTAAATGCTGCTTGAAATTCCTTTGAAGTGCTTTACTTTAACATTTGATAATGATAGTATTAATTAAATATAAATAAATTTTATAAAAAACCATCCCTTAAATAATAAGTCAAAATTAGAATTTTTTATTATATTATATATTTTAATTTTCATCATATTCAACTTAATAAATACTGCATAGTTGTCATTTATTATCATAGCAGGAAAAGTTACAAAATATTAAACTTGTAAAATATATAACAAAGGTATACAACTCTTTGAATTGATAAGAATTACATAAATCATTTAATTTTTATTAGTTTACATTTTTGTAAAATATGATATTCTGAAAAAAGACTATAGGAAGCCTGCTTACTTACAAAAGGGAAAATAATAAAGTTACCGTCAATTTTTAGGAAGGTTAGTTTGAATTTAATTTTTCTTAAATAAATATTATTATTTGATTTTTAAATGAAAAGACCTCAAATTTATTTATTGTAAGATATAAACCTAAAACATCAAGACACTTTTTAGTTGGGTTTGGGGTTGGGTTTTGGGTTTGGGGTGGGGTTTGGGTTTGGG